TTTTTTATTCGGTAAGGACTATCGATTTGAAAGGCATTCCACCATGCAGACCCCAAATTAGAATCTCAGGGTCAAAATTCCCGGGCCGAGAGAGACCAGGTCGGCCAGTTTCAGAAAGGTTATGTCAGGTACCGCTTGTGCGTTATCTGCAAGTTGCTAGCGCTGGAGCCCTGCTGGGCAGTGCTGTGTTGAGGAAGGAAGGCGGCCATAGCCGCATAGCTAGTAGTAGGAGATAGAGCTGAGTAGTGGCGGATGATCCAGAGTCAAGAGCTTCAAGGAGGGAGAGAGAGAGAGAGAGAGAGAGAGAGAGAGAGAGAGAGAGAGAGAGAGAGAGAGAGAGAGAGAGAGAGAGAGAGAGAGAGAGGAGATGAGAGAGTCACCTACCTTGGATGAGGATGCTGGATATGGGTTGCTGAACTCTGTGCTGTTGAGAGCTTGGTGACTGGAACTCTAGAACTGTTTAATATGATAATCCGTTGGAATTCCTAAGCTGCGCTTATCTGGACTATGCATCTCTGATCTCCAGTGTGGATTTTGTGTGATCTCTCATTGTGAGTGTGTGCTCAAGGTGACAAACAGTGTGGTTCAATGCAGATTTGAGCCTGAGGCAAAAGTTGTTCAGTTTATTTTTCTGCATAACATAGTGCAACAACCCATGCCATATGTCTTGTGGAAACTGAGGGTCTCAGAGGGCCTACCTGGCCGCCCTCAGCCCAGGCCGAACAAGGGCAAAGAAGGCCCTACACGAATCCAGGGCGTTGACTTCAGTCAACTGTCGGTCCACCCAACAGTCAAAGTCCAAAGGTACCTAGCCCAGGCCGCTGGTCAAGCACACACATTTGTTTGTATGCAGGTACCCAGACGGCATCAGGTCCAAGGGGGAAGTCTGCAACTGTATCATCCGGGCCTTCAGATGTGAGTCAATCTGGACGACTGAGGAAAGAGGACCAAGGCGGCGAGGCCGGACAGCCTCGACATCTGTTTCTTAAGGCTGGCCTCGAGAGAGTCAAGCATTCAGTCTTGCTATGCTGCTTTGACGCTGGCTCGACTTTGACACGACGCTGGCTTCATGCTGGCTGCGCACAAGTGTTGCAGACGACGGCACGAGGTGGAGGCAGCATGCTGGCGCTTCTTCAGTGCGCCAGCCCATGCTGATGTGGCGCTGCCTTTGGTATATGTGGCGCTGCCTCTGGTCTACGTGGCATGCTGATGTGGCGCTGCCTCTGGCATACGTGGCGTTGCCTCTGGTCTACGTGGCATGCTGATGTGGCGCTGCCTCTGACATACGTGGCGCTGCTACTGGTCTACATTGATGATGTGGCGATTGCCACCTGTTTCCATAGTTGACGTGGCATTGTCCACACTGTCTACATGAGGTGACTGGTTGCACGGAAGGAGGAAAATCAGGATCTGTGGTTGAAGGAGAACAGGTACTCACCTGGGTTTGAAGTCGATATGGGAATCTGCAATGTCTTCATGGTCTTCATGGTCTTCATGAGATTGAGTGCCACGTGGCACTTCCGTGCGTGATCAGGATTATACTTATTATCATTGTTGATGTGGAGAGGGAAGGAGCCCGGAGAAGGAGAGGGTTCAGAAGGGATTAC